AGCCTTGTGCCGCGCTCGCACAGCTTTCCGACTTCGCCCGCTGCGTCGCGCGTTCGCCGTGCGCCGCGCCTCCATGGCTGCTGCGTCGCCACCTCCCCTCGTCCTCGCTCCTCCCACCCGCGCTGCGGTCCGGAATCTCCAGGGTCCAGAAGCGTTGCAGGCGCCCCCGTGTCAACAGCTGTAACCAGCCCCCGTCCTCTTCCTTCTCCCTTCTCCTCCTCCTCCTCCTCCTCCTCCTCCTCCTATCCTCTCAGCCTGAGAGCTCGCCCCCATCCCCACGAGGGCCTGGGCAGGCAGGCCTGGCCTGGGAGGCCTCTGGTGCCCCCTGGCCTCCTGTCTGGGTCAGGTCGGGGGCGGCCACGAGGGGGGCGATGACCTGGGGTGATGATGTTCCGACTTGCACGCCGGTCGTTGAAAGTAGGAGTTTTTGGATTCCCAGATCCCAATCTATTTCAAGTGCCTTCCTACTTCAAGAATCGACATGCTTTGCTGTGTTTTGTTATTATGTGAGAGGGCCTGGACCCAATCCACTATACCCGCCTTCCTACTTCATGGTTTTGCCTACTTCTTCTGACCGACGTGTACTTTAGCCTTGATCGCCAGAAAGAATTTCGAGCACCAAGAAAGTGCCAAATTTCGAAGGCTTTCGCGTGTCGGGTCCTGCAAGGCGGTACTCGTGCGGCACTGTTTCGATACCTTCCCTCGATGCTCGAAATTATTTCTGGGATGTGCTCCTTAAGTGCGACTGGAGCAACATGAACCCGGGGGGAGTGGCATGGTCGGGGCCACGATGCCTCCCCGGACTTCACGAGGCCGCCCCTCTTTTCTTTCAGCGTGTCCCTTGGCCGCCCCTGTGCCGTGCACACGCACACCGCGCCATGCTCTGCGAGCCCCCCCCCCCCCCTCGACGGCCGCCCCCCGATCCAGGGGGTGGACCGCGCCCCGCCTCGCAGCGCTCAGGGGGGCTCCCTGAAGCAGGGCGCTGCCGGCCAGCACTCTGCGCGCCCCAGAGATCCGACGCCCCGACACATTGGGGCAGCCGCTTTTTGCCGTCTTCGGCCCCCCGGGGGGCCCTCGGCGGACCTAGGACGAAGCACCGGCCCTACGAGACTCGTCAACAATGAGTTGCCGGTTTTTTGCTTCGGTGCTTGCGTGGTGGGCGCTGCTTCCATGCTGGCATGCGGTATTCGGCCCAGGCGCAGGGGTGTCCGAAATCTGGCAGCACCCTCACAGCATGGAAGCACGCGCTTCTGACCAGTGCCCGAACGATCGAGGCTCGTAGGGAAGTGGCCCAGACCTCCAGGGCCCACGCATCGGAAAAAGTGGAGCGGCTGGACGTCCGGGGGGTTCCACCTCGGGAGAGCGGAGGACGGAGGATGCTTCGACCCACGGCTGCAGTGATCTCGGGCGCGCCAAGTGCCTGGCTTCTGGGGCAGGGCCCGCTTTTAAGGTGCCCAGACGCACGCCTGCAGACTTGCCCCCCCGCCCCCCCGCCGCCCTGCTTCTCGGACACACTTGTTGCGTCGGCGGCTGGGCAAAGGGTGACTGCGCTGGCGATGGATGGCATGAACGGGGGTACCGGAGAGGCCGAACTGTGCCACCATGCAGGAGGAGGAGGCGGAGGAGGAGGAGGAGGAGGAGCAGGAGGCGGAGGAGGAGGAGGAGGAGGAGGAGGAGGAGGAGGAGGAGGAGGAGGAGGAGGGAGAAGGAGGAGGAGGAGGGAGGAGGAGGAGGGAGGAGGGGTGCGGCCGACGGAAAATGTAAGGACGGGGCGGGCGGCCCAGGGGTCAGGACACTTCTTGGACACACGCAGGAGTGACCCTGTGCCAGAGCGACCGCTGCTGCGCAGCTTCTGGGGGGGGGGCCCGGGGGGCTCCAGGGCGGGGGGCCGAACCCCAGCGCGCAGGCCGCCGTTGTCGCACCGCGCGCGGCGATCGGCAGGCCGCGCACGAAAAGGCCACTCGTGCCCAGGGCTACGCTCCCAGACATCTGACGTCTCGGAGACCTAGAGGTTGACACCAACACCAGCATCGGCGGTGTGCCTCCACCGAGGGAAGATGATCCCGACCTCGGTGAGGGTGGTCAGGTTCGGGCATCCCCAGGGTGACCGCAAGATGGCCACCAGCACCCGAATCTAGGGTCAGCTGCCCCTGATGGAGGCAAAACCCCTTGTTTTGGCGTTTTGGTGCTCATGCTCAGGCCTCCAAGCGTCATGTTTTTTTGTTTCAGCACGGGGCCCCTGGAAGTCCCGACCCTTCCCCCGCGGCCGGCGCTTCCCGCCCTGGGCCGATGATCTCGTGGCAGCCCCGGGGGCACGGCTGAGCAGAGGAGGCGGCAGAGGAGGAGGCGGAGGAGGAGGAGGAGGAGGCGGAGGCGGAGGAGGAGGAGGAGGAGGAGGAGGAGGAGGAGGCCGAAGACGGCGAGAAGCCCCCGCCCGGAGCTCTCTGAGAGCTGCTGGCTGCCTGGCCCCCGCTTGCCGCCGGGGCCCTCTCCCTCTCAG